CGGCCATCAGGCCGACTGACGAAGCAACTTTGCACCTAATTACCTCCTAATCCGTGGCGAGTTTGTGAAAACTTCATTGATATAAAATGTAGAGCTACACGAGATCTACAACTTTGCTTTAGAAAGTTTTGTCAAATTTGCCATGGTTTTCAATTTACAAAGCTCCAAAGTAGGCTACTTTGAAACTGTAAACAGTTTGACTTAGCAAAATTTCTAAGTCCTGGAAATAGCATACTATGGCTTCTTGTGGGCCCTATTTGACCACGTTAGGCACTGAATTAGCTCATGACCCTTAAATAAAGTTTGTTACCCATGTCAAGAGCTACAACTTTTATTAAGGGTGCACTGCCATGCAAACACTCTATGCTATAGTTTAACTCTAGTCAAAGTAATATCTAAAAAATAAAGTTGAGTAAACTAGGACTTAGAAGCAAAATTGGCCCATGTCATGAATACAAACATTATTCCATTTTTCATCCTAGATGTGTCTAAGGTGTTTTTTTTACCTCACAACCATCTCTTGCATTGGTCACACATGATCACAAGCATATACATGTATATAATCAACATCACATGTGATAATATGTAAAAATAAGATGAGATTTCATATGCTCATGCTCATGAATGCTTGGATGATGTTTGTGCTCATGAAATGCAAGTGTCAAATGCAATGCATGATCACAGGCATATACATGTATATAACCAACATCACATGTGATAATATGTAAAAATAAGATGAGATTTCATATGCTCATACTCATGAATGCTTGGATGATGCTTGTGCTCATGAAATACAAGTGCTAAATGCAATACTTAACACTAGGGTGTTACACGCAGCGTATGAGACTGATCCAAAGTTCCATCGTCATGTTATGAAACTGGAGCACTGAAAAGCAGCAGTTTCAAGTCACATTTGGTATGGCAGCCTGTCTAATGTGATCCTGAACTCGTGAATTTTTAATACCATTGTACTAGCTTGTGTTTGGTGAATCGGTGCGATACACCCTTCTTACAACCACTAATGTGCATCTGATTGCCACAGATATCTTCGACAATTCAATCAGCTACAGAAATAGCATACATAGCCATTCAGTGCAACATAGATCTGCCTTCTATTGTCATTATCACGTTGTCCTAGTTCTCCAAAACAACCAGACAAATCTGATACTCGATATATGGAGTTAAGTACCAAGTGTTCCAACTACATTAGTACTTGAAGTCTTGAACGCATAGACCAACTAAGTTTTATAACTAGACCAGACCCAATGATAACGAGAGTTGCAGAGGATATAAAAAGATGAACGACTGCCGAAAAGTAGAACACAAGCAGCATCGCCATTGCCATCATAACCTTCACCATCATCTCCTATCTCTACATCACCATGACACTGAAGAAGGCACCACCTTGATTGTAATTTTAGCCATGCAAGGGGCAATAAAAACATTGCAGATGCAATGCAACCATTACTTCCCAGTTTCCACAGTTTTGATAATCTAGGTGTGTAAATGTTTTTAAGAGGACTTAGGTGAGTAAATCTGAAGTGCATAAGTTCAGCCTCATTGCCAAAGAGTATCAAAATGGAAGGAGCATCAAAATACTTTTTTCACTGACTTGGAGCAGACTCCATACATTGAAATCATTAATTTGCATGAAAGATTGGAGAATAAGAAAGAAAATGACAACAAATTTACTTGCAGCCAACCCTAACAATATCCAGTCATGCACCATTCTCTGGTCCTTGAGTTATAAAAATAAAAAACGATGCAACTATATGATGTCAAAAAAGGAATGAAATAATGCTCTTCTTTTCAACATAAGCTACCTTAGTTGCAACCCCAAATATCTACGACACAAAAGAAATAAATATGTGTAATATGATGAATGTTCCCTGAAAAACTAAGTTCCAAAAGGCATCAAACACAGATTAAACGTGAATGAGCGTTTGTGCATTTAAAAAAAATCATTATCAGGTTCAGACTTAATTCTGAAATTAATGTAAAGGACAGAAGTCTAAATGTTGAGAGCATTAGTAGGATTGCTCTGCTCACATTAACAGGTTCATACTCATTGTTCATTTTGAAATCGACGACCCAGGCTCAAAGCATGTACAGTTGTCATGAGTTGCATATTCAGGGCTGAAAGAATGCAAAGGTTCATAACAATAAAAGGCGCTACTAGGTACTAGCACACAAGTGACACACCCACTAATCAGAAACTAACAAAAAAAATGCATCACATCAATGCCCAGATTCAATTCCACAGGAAGATGGAATACATTCAGACATCAGGGGCAATTTGATTTCAATCATTCAGACTTGCATACTGCACTTGCAGAGAAGTGTGGCAGTAACATGAGCCTGGGGTCTGAGCTGAGAAGCACGGGGTCTGGGAGGATGACAAGCCGAGGAGTTGACAGAGGCAGGGGGATCCTGCTGGCAGGCAGACAGAGGTCGCACGTCCATGTCGGTTGGCAGTTTGGCAGGTAGAGGGCCAAGGCTGCTCCAGTGGCGACACGAGAAGGGAGGGGGTGGAGAGGAGGCCACACGTGATGTGGAGACAGAGGAGATCGAGCTCGCTTCCCTCTCCGGCGGTGATGCAAGGAGGAAATGACAGCGGCGGCGCAACGCAAGCACATGAGGGGCCCAGGTTATAAACTTGCAATCCCTATCCACCACCCAGCAACATATCCCCTCGTGCTTTGTTTTCTTGCTCCCACATGCTCAATTCCCCTTGCACTCGCGCAATTGCTCCTGCCCGCGCTTGTGAAAAGACTGCATGGCAGATGCCTTTTCACGTTTCTGCGTCGCCTAGAATTTGCCGCACAGGGCCTAAACGACACACTGGGTTCCATTTTCCAAGTAATCATGCCTAAGTGTACGCTTAATGTCTTCTTTAACACATTGAACAAAGGTTATACAAAAATATACCAATTGACCGTGGAACATATCTTCATAGTATACCTATTTTGGTGTCATAAATGTTGACAATCTTCTCTACAAACTTATTGACTTAGGATTAATGTAATAATGATTTTGTATGTGTGTGTTTGGGGGCGAGGGGAGGATGGAGGTTGCACTCGTTAACCTCATGTAAGCGCCCAGCCTCTTTTAACAAATCTTTTGGAGAAATTAACATCTAAGCTAGTTAGCTTAATTATATGTTAGGCAATCATCATTAATAAGTGCACCCTTTACTGCCTATTGGCCTTTATAAGTAATTTCTAGTCTAGCGCTTATGGATGAAGTGGTCTGTCACAAGACAATATTATTAACAGCACGAGAATTAGTAAACTATTGACAATAACTAGAGTGCAAACAAGTACGAGTCCAAGGACATGCATGAGAAACAATACCCTAGGCCCATTAAAACCACCAAAGGCCTCTTTGGCAAGCTTAGGCTGAGCCAGTTTTTTATGGCAGATACAACAAGTCATATTTCTGTAAGCTCAAAATGATATTTGTTAATTTAAAAAGTAAAATGTTGAAGAAAACATCACTAAAACTCAGTTCACATGCTCTCACAGATCACAATATACTGAATGAGCCACTATAACGCAAGCTGGCAACCCAAAAATGTGAATTTCCACGCATGCCAAAAATGTCATAAAGTCATAATGATGCTTTAGTCAATGTTTAGGAAACTAAGCTTGGAAAGATAGTCGATGAAGGAACTGATCACTACCCAACCAGACAATAACGAATGCAATTACAGTTGTGAAAGAATCAAGAAGGGTAAATGAGAAGTAAAATTTATGCTTCTTGCCCATGTCCAACAGCTTGTGGAGAAATCATTTTTTTTTCAATTTATTGAGAATAGAGGTATGTTCCATCTTCCATGACACATGTGATAGTACAAGGTCCCATTGATGTGGCACTCATTGTTGAAAACACACACACACACACAATTGTGGATGTCTTCTGGATGGCTTGTTTCCATGATAGCAGAATACATGAAACCATGTGAAAATACAAACAAGAATAACCTAATAGTCTATACCTTGGCAGGAGGCAAATAGCACACACACTACACAGTGACCACAAGGTCCTAGAGAAGATTTTGATGCAACTGCAATCCATGGTACACATGACAGTGTGTATAGGCAAAACAAGAACACAACAAAAATAATCAGTCCTATGGCATGTACTCCCTCCATTCCAAATTATAATTAGTTTAGGCTTTTCTAGGTACATAACTTTTGTTATGCATCTAGATATACACTATGTCTAATGCATAGCTTTTACTAGAAAAGCCGCTTATATTTGGAACAGAGGGAGTAAGTGACAGTGCCTTAAAGAAGAATGCAAAAGGGCATGCAGTCGAAATTATGATAAAAGACTTACAGCTTCATATCCTTCTCGGTGATAAGAATGGTGGGTACCCAAAGTACAGAAACGGAGTGTAACTGTAGTGTTCAATTTCATGGTCAATTTCAACAGAACAGACCCTCACAATCTCCAATGTCTTGATATTAAGCGAGAAAAACACTAAACTTCTAGCACTGGCTTTCTCGAAGCCTGCTATGATAATATATCCTTCTGCCACACCGAAAACAAAATAGCAGTAATAATCAGAGGGAAGCTGGATTGCAGACTCCGTTGCATGCTCATTGTCATTTCAAGCGTCATTTTGCCAAATGGAGTGCAGAAGCTCAGGAAATTCTGGACCGGCACAAGTAATTATCCCAATCCTTCCTTCACCAGCCTCCACAACCGAGAATTCCATCCTGTTAAGGTGGGAGGCCAACAACCGAGAATTCCATCCTGTTAATGTCGAGCTTGAGCAACTTGTTGCAAGATTGCAGTTTCCAGTAGAAGCAACCATACGCATAACTGGGCCACAGATCCACGGGTGTGGTGAATTGTTGTTGAACGTGGAAGCCTGGCGCATCCGAACCGATAGAAATGCCATCGGACCAGGTGCCAGAAAGCGAAGAGTAGACAAATGCCACAGCCAGTGCATCACAGTACGTCCAGGCAACCACCCTGAATTGTTCCTCCTCTTAGTCTGCTGCGGGGACAAAGAAAGCGATGAAATTTCCGATGTGCTCGCCCCGGGCCGGACCAAGGACGGAGGCTACTAGGCTTTCTGGTATGGTAGGCAGCGGCGTGCACCCCCGTGTCAAGGGGTCGCATACGGCGAGTTCCGGGAGGATATGCCCGCCCGCACGCTCCTCATAGCGTATCAGGAGAACCCGGCCGTCGCGGGCATCGCAGTAAATCCAGCCGGTTCGTTGGCACGGAGGGAGGTAGGCCAAGGAGAAGTCGGCGGCGCGGACGAGGGCGTGCGCGGTGAGCGCGTTGGGGTGGCGAGCTTCGGCGGGCAGGAATCTTCGGGCCGTGAGGATACCGAGGAGGAGCGGAGGGTGGAGGGAGCGGTAGCGGCGGAGGAATGAGGCAGCGGCGACGAGGCGGCGGAAGGAGTCGCACGCTGCGGAGGCGCGGACAAGGTCGGCGGGGGAGGCGACCCGGACGAGGATCTCCTCGACAAGGTGGTCGGGGAGCGGTGGCGGCGCCCGGGGAGGATCTGCGCCATCGCCGGCGAAAGGGTTTGGATGGACGAGAGCTGCACGACGAGTGTGGGGGTGTGCCGTGCCCGTGCGTGCCTGGCCGGCGCTCGTGTGTGCTGGGCTGAGCCTGCGACCGTCCGGCCACAGCATTTTCGGCCTGTGTCCATACAGCCCGTTAGAGCTCAGCTTAATCAGCCAGCCCGTGCTGTTCTTTTGGCTTATAAGCTCTCCTTAATAATTTTTCTCTCGTAAGGGCAACGGTACTCATGAGCCAAGCCAACAGGCGATAGGCTGGCTGATTCCCCGCTGTCATCCCCCGCTCAGGCAGGCTCCACTCCCCTCTCTCCTCTCCCCTGCTGCCTGCGCCGCTCCGCTCCGGTGCGCGGTCCGGCACTCGCATTTCGATCCCTCGATCTGTCTTCTCTCGGGTTCGTGCTCTTCACCCCGCCTCCCGTGATTCTGCTGCATTTCTTTCTCGTGTTCTTGAGGTTCTAGGACTGGGACGGACGGGCCTTGATGTTTTTGGTTGCGCCGCCGCAGGGGGGAAGAAACGTGACAATGGAGGCTCCACCCGTGGCGCTGTTCGACTCTCTCAAGGTGCGCATCGCGAGTCGCTTTTGTAATTCTCACCGTCATCTGGGCTGCGGCATTTCATCGATCATCCTGCGAGCTGTTCAGGGTTTAAATTCTTGCCCTTTTGTTTCGGCTGCGATGTGGTAGCAAATCTTATTACCTTGTTCGAGTGGATCTGAGAATTTGAGCATGTACAGTGGAATTTCAAGCAGTGTATTTTTCTGGTTAAAAGGAATGTCGATCGTGAGAGTGTCGTGTCTGTGGTAGTTTCTTCGTTTGCCCTCACATGAATGATACAGACGACAACTAGTGTGATCATGTGTTATGTCCTGTATTTTTTTTAATCAATCTCAGTCTTGCAACAGGCTGCCAAACCATTCTTCTTGCTAGCCGGTCCCAACGTGATTGAATCGGAGGAGCATGTCCTGAAGATGGCCAAACACATCAAAGGAATTACAACCAAGTGAGCACGAAGTTGGGACTTGGGATCAGTCTTTTTTTTCTCTAATAAAAAAACCGGGGCTAAATTAAACCTACTCTGTTACCTTTTGTTCTCCATGACAGGCTTGGAATTCCACTTGTGTTCAAGTCCAGCTTTGATAAAGCAAACCGTACATCGTCAAAATCATTCCGTGGTCCTGGTCTTGAAGAAGGCCTAAAGGTGAGCCATGTTTTATCCTTCATCAGACCAGGCATTTCCTAGTTTTGATTGTATTGGTCTTCAGTAGTCAGTACAATGTGCAAATTCATGTCAAGCCACTGTTTCTCTTATGTGACACTTGTTTAGTTCTCTGCAATTCATATGATAACTAAATTGGCCATAGTTTTGGCATCAGTGATTACCTGAATTATTGGAAGTGGCTGGACAACTAGAATTACCTGTTCAAATACCTAGTGCTATATTGTTATTTTGGCCTAATGGCCTAGGTTGAGATTCCAGGAGAAACATTAACAACTAACCATATCTTGGGATTTGTTCAAGTACTAATGGCCTGTGTGAAGTGTATATGTACCTAATTGTTGACACAGCTTTTCACGTGCGATAGTGTGTTTATATTATATTGTTTTTTAATTTCCAATTTTGTTAGATCCTTGAAAAGGTGAAAGCAACATATGACCTTCCGGTAGTCACTGATGTGCACGAAAGCCACCAGGTAACCCATCATCAGATTCTGCTGTGTCAATGCCCGATTTGGCTTGATTCTGCACCAGATCATGTTTCCTTTGTACATTTTGTACTGTAAGACATGTTTCTTGTTCTTAAGTAATATTGTGAACAAATTTGTTCTTTTATGCTACCTGTTCTTGCATTCCAGTAACAGTAAGACATGTCTGAGTTTTTTTCATTCCAATCTCATAAGGAAACCAGCAAATGATTCTCTATTTCATACTAGTTACCACTAGTCATGTTATGTTTGTGTAGTCATATATTATTGTCAGAAAGAAACTTTTGACCCCATGCACTTTTCTTTTCCAAGTTTTTAAGATGCATCTCTAGTTCTCTACACAATTGAAGGTATTGAATGGTTTGGTTTCATTTCAAATCCTGGATTTGTACTCATACCTGGATCTGCTTTTCATAATTTCATACTTAATTTGAGAGGTGAGCTGTTACTTTTCTGAGCATATGTGGAACTCAATAACACCATTACCCACTCTATTATAATCAAACAACCCATCTTGTTGCTAACTGCGCATTACCTGCATTGCCCTTTATCAAGTCACAATCTCCTACTGCATATTATTTGCTCTAAAGGTATAGATGGTTCCTAATTATTTCATGAAATCAGTGTGAAGCTGTTGGACGAGTTGCTGACATTATACAGATTCCAGCCTTCCTCTGTCGCCAGGTACAACTTTGAATGAAAGGATTTTCTGTGGAAAACAACAGTTTTTTCATATATTTAAGCATGAGTCTGCATATTTATACCATGTTCTGCATCTCTAATGCAAACATATTACTATGATAACAGACTGATCTTCTAGTGGCCGCTGCTAAGACTGGAAAAATTATCAACATCAAAAAAGGACAATTCTGTGCGCCTTCTGTAAGTTGCATCTTACTAACTGGTAGTATAATTGAAATTTGAATACAGGAAATTTTAGCTACTTGCTAATTTAGTATTTAAATCATTACCCTAAAAAGGTTCTGTGCTGTTAAATGTTGCACAAAGTAACAAACATTCCATAGTGTCCTTAGTGCTACTTTTCATAGCAATTTGGTGAAGTTTCTTACTTGATTGTTATGAATGAGGTGCAATGTTGAAAGAATGCGGAACTCTTTGCTCTTACTGGAAATTTTCATTTAATTGAGTCTAATGAAATTTCTGAAGTAACTTGGCTTAAGTTGATAGAATTTTCGCATTACTTTAGCTGACAACGTGAAACTTAACAAAAATGATATCAGTCTGTCCCTATCTGATCTATGATAATCCATTAATCTTCTTGTTGAGTTATAGTGCATGTTTCTTCATATGACCTTTACCATTTAAGCATACATTTGTCTGATATTTTTTATGGAAAGACAATTATCCAGACATATGTTGTCTTCATATTACTATAGCTATTTTTTGACAAGATACACAATTTTGAGAATGTTCTTATAGAATGACCTCCTGGTTAAGGCTTGAAGCTAATTATTTTACCAGATTTACTTGTTTTACTTTTGCATTTGCTTGTCAAAGTGAACCTTTACATCTCCAGGTTATGGTGAACTCTGCAGAGAAAGTAAGGCTTGTTGGAAACCCAAATGTGATGGTCTGTGAACGTGGTACCATGTTTGGCTACAGTTAAGGCATCTTTTGGCTCTTTCTTTTCTGTTTATTGCCCACTTAATAAACATGAAAAAGAGAGAACAATTAATCATTGATGTTGTTCTAGGACATTGCCACTAAGGAGAGTAGGTAACATGTTGTAGGGTTGTAGAATGACTATGAACCAAGTAGCATTAGAGGGATGAATTTTTCTTGAAATATATGATGTCACTGTATAATCATTTTATGAATTCACCAGTTAAAGTCGTGAGAGCTAGATTAGGGTTGCCTTCAGATCATTTGGCATGCAACAAAGTAATTGATACCGTCACTTCTGGAGTTGTGGTTGGAGATCAAGCTGCAGCTCAAGAAGAAGCATCTAGAAGTTCCACAGCAGTGCGCAAACTGTCTCATAGTGCACACCTCATATTATGACTTCCTTCATTATTAGTTATTTCTCAATTTCTACACAAAGACTGACATTTGTTACAATTAACACACAGATGATCTAATTGTTGACCCAAGGAACTTTGAGTGGCTGAGGGAAGCCAATTGCCCAGTTGTAAGTATTGGAACCTTACTCATATCCCTAAATGGATAATCCACCACCTGTGTAGACCCATCTGACTTGTTCCTTATTGAACACTTCCATCTAGTTTTTCAATATTTATGGCATTGCACAAATCTCAAATCATGGATCAACTAGTGAAAAGAATCAAGTTAATACTTAAACCTTACATAGATGCAACCTGATTGTTATAATGGGAATGATGACTCCTTTGTGTCAATTTAACTGTGTTAGCATTGAGCCTTTTCTTCTGATCTGGTGCAGTTGTTTTGACATACAAAGGTGGTCCTTCTCTCCTGTTGTAAAAAATGAACCTACGTTGTTAAATTTCAATTAATTCAGATAAACATTAATCTTCCAACAACACAGATGTTAACAACGAATGCTAGTACTGGAACAGCATTTCACCAATCTTGGACAAAAATAATTTAAGATCAAGCCTTTTCTACATTTCACCAGAAAGTGGTTGTATTTCTGTCTGATGCTTAGGAAAAGTTCCATTTTATTAATATCCACAACTCATTTGTGATTTGTCATTTTCATGCTTCTCGTTTTCCTTTTTTTATTGTACCCTTCTTGATCCCACTATGTGGTAGCTAGCAACAACTATGTTGTAAATTATAGACCACTGATATGCATTTCAGGTAGCTGATGTAACACATGCTCTACAGCAACCGGCTGGAAGAAAGGTATCTTTACCAATTGTGATGTGCATTTACCAATTGCTACCTGATGTAAACTTGCATGCAACATTTTAAGTGCTATGCTGTTCCAGTCATGGTCTCATCTCTATATTTAATAACCACAATCACAAGAATCTGTAATGTCCAAAATTTGGGCCTTCGGATCTATTTTAGGTTAAACAGTCTCACTATTATGTTGAAATTTTACCTACTATAAAAAATCAGCCACCAAAACAGTAGTTGTTTTAACTTCTATCACAACTTCAGAACTACCTTATATTGAATTCATCGTTGTTTTTGCTGGTGTTTGTTTTAGTTAAATTGGGGCTTGCTGTGTTCTATTTTGTAAGCTTGATGGTGGAGGTGTTGCAAGCGGGGGGCTACGAGAACTAATACCATGCATTGCAAGGACTTCTGTTGCTGTTGGTGTTGATGGTATTTTCATGGAGGTAAAGAGATGTGAAAATAAAGAAATGAGGATGCTATGTTGTTCCTTTAGCATAATCTGCTGTTATGCTCATTAAGCAAAATTATCTAAATTAAATCTATTTTATTGCATTCCCACAGGTACATGATGATCCCTTGAATGCACCATGCGATGGCCCAACTCAATGGGTATAATCCAGTTCATTCATGCAATCTTTTCCACCTTATGTAGCATTGATGATGTTTATCATATAACCCGCATACTATTTGTTTGCACTCTTTTCTTTCTTAGCCATTGCGCAATTTGGAAGAGCTATTGGAGGAATTGATTGCAATCGCTGTAAGTTTGATATCCTTCAGTATTTTCAAGCCAAATCTCAGTAAATTTACCTTACGTTTTTCCACCTTTTTCTCCCATCATGTGAAGCGAGTTACCAAGGGAAAGAAGCCATTCAAGATCGATCTCACTCCGTTCCAGGAATAATCTGCTTTGGTTGATAGAAAGCACAATGCCAGCATCCATGGGATTCAACAGGGTGATTTAATATGAATGCTGTACTTGTTACTGTTTCGAGCAAAAAACGAACTATTGAATTGAAACCTGTTGGGTTGGTTTGTGTTGTTTCATCAGTTGTACCACCATGTTATTGGACAAATAAATCATCACTAGACAAATGCAATTGTTGTCTGATTACCAGCTTGTCGCTTCTGTGCATCCAGATGATAATATGAAGCTTGCTATCTGCAGTCAAAATGGTCAAGATAATTTCTGTGTAAATCAGAAGAGGGCCCCAAATGGAACAAACCAAAGCGTACATAAAATGCAATGTATCACTTCACGGCTGGAAATGCAGCAAAATTGCACGATAAACTACAGTACTGGGTACCAGCCTTTCTTTCTTCCAGAGCTTGCAACAATTAGCAGTTCTAAAACTCAGCACGCCAGATACATGCACCAAAATAGAAATCCACACTTCACAAGCTGCATGTTCTACTGCACTAGCCGTCTCTACTCCCAAATTGCTTAGGTTACTTGCTTTAACCGTCTAGTCCTTGTCTCTACTTTCTAATTGCTTCGGTTACTGCTTTAACCGTCTAGTCCTTTTCCTCGTGGGTACATGACCTTTCTCAGATACAGGGAACCTTTTCTCCTTGAAAGCCCTGACCATATTGTACACCTGTATTGAAGCTCACATTAATCTTGATTGAGTTTAATGCAATTTCATATTGTATAAACGCTTCAGTTGGAGTTACCTTCCGAATACCAGATGTTAATCCCATGGACTCCACGGAGGACTCGTTGACAAGTTTCAACCTTGTGCTATCAGCTTCCTTTTTGCATAGTCGATCCACACCATCTACATTGTAGTTAGTTAGCAAGCAAGATATGAAGGGCTTTCAAGGACAACAGATTGTTTTTTTTCTGGTGACGAAAACCAACAAACTCTACCTTTGATATTAATAATCATCAGCTCCACATGCATTGTCAGGCGAATGTGGGAAAAAACGTGGACATGCTCACCAATATCCTCCCGGAAGATCACGACAGATTTCTGTCCTATGTCGATGTTAAGCAACTTTGACAAATACTTGTCCATTGCTTTCCTTCTGTTCAGCAAATCAGTTTTCCCTTCGTCCACAAGGACCAGTGGGAACTCCCAGAGCCCCGCAAGCAGGCCCTCCTCTGGTCTCTTGATCAGCAAAAAGAGATGGTCTGTTGCCCTTTGCAGCTGTCACCTCTTCCTCCAAGCCTTGTGCAATCTGAACGACACAAACAGCAGCGAAATCTCTCCGAGGTTTGGCCTTTGGAACCACACGTGGGAAGTCTGTAACTCGGACTGAATTTTCATGGGAAAGTGCAAGCGCTTGGCAGTGGCTAGAGACTGGGCATTCAGAGCAACCAGGCTTTGTCTTGCTACATAATGTTGCTCCTAATTCCATCATTGCTTGGTTGAAGTCTCCTGGTCTCAAAGGATCAACCATCTGACCTGCAAGCTCCCTATGATGAAAAATGCACATTGTGCAGATTCTGAGATTGGTGTAAAGCTTCCCAATTCAGAATTGGATTCACAGCAAGACAACATGATTACAGACGAATCAGTATCAATCAATGTCTGTCCAACTATGGATAAATCCTGTACTGAGGTTAGGAGGGGTTTGAAAATGCAAATCAAGAGTTTAAATTAGATCAAATATGTGCATTTTTATTTCAACTGGTGATACAGCACAATGCACAGTATTATTCAGGTCTATTGTAGTGCAAAAAGGAAAATGTAGGACAAACTACAGTACATGGTGTTATTTTACTAGAAAAATCCAACATTGTAATAAACACTACCATGAACAATCAACTAACAAGATGAATTGTGAGGTGTTTGGTTTGAGGAACCACCACATTCTAAATGAAGTGGTCGATCGTGAGTTCAGCCCATGAATTCTGATGGAGTAACTTCATCCCTCAGGCTTATATAGTAATTATAATATTTTGTGAGGGATGAGGTGGTGGTGGATCAACCCATTCCATTCCACAAATCAGTAAGGAGTGAGATGATGATGGATCAACCAAACACCTCTATAAGCTGTCAAACAAGAAGGATAATGCTGCCTACCAGAATCTCTTCACTGTTGAGGATTCCTTTGGGTTGTCAGCAATGGCGTAAAGCCTGCTGATCACTCGTACAACATTTCCATCCACAACTGGGACAACCTATAATAATGATAGAAAAAGTCACAAAATCATTTGAAAAAGGAAAAGAAAATGCACATGCTAATTTGACGAGTTGCTAAACTGTGAACAACCTCGTTGAAGGCAATTGAAGCGATTGCTCCAGCTGTGTAATCCCCAATGCCATGAACCTCACGGAGGGCTGACGCCGTGCAAGGAAACACCCCCTTTTCCATGATCTGCTTTGCTCCCTGTTTCTCCATCATAAAGAAGATCGACCATAAACCACAGATAGAAATCCTGCATTCCTGGTTTATAGTGTTATATAAAGACCACAAAACTGTTAAAATTAAGGTAACTTGTATAAGCTGGAAACCAAAGAACAAGAGAGGAAGGCCACATAAAAGGCCAAATTCCTGACACAAAATGTCAATATCTTGACATCTCAAAATCAGTTCAAATGCAAAGCAAATGATGAACTACTAATCAGATTTCCTTTCCTTCATTTCAAGGAAAATGGAACTCTGAATTAATGTTGCAGGCTCTCTGAGGCAAAACATCAAACAGGGAATGTGCGCAGCAGCAAAGGTTGGCAAGCAAGCGTCAATCTTCCAATTGACATGCCCCAACCATTCGCCATCAATCCATTATCAGCACAACTCACCTCCATCAAAAATCGAGCCCTACGGTAGTAGCCAAGACCCGCCCATATCTCATTGACCTCCTGCGGCAAGCATCAAGCCACGAATCAAGAACTCGATTATCATTTAATTTAACCCCACGAAATTTCGACGTCAAAAGATCTAATCTTCCCCACAAAAAGAAAAAAACTTTTGCTTCTCTTGCCCAATTGATTTATGAACTATTGCTCACCTCCTGCGTAGCGGCGGCGAGGCTTCGCACGGTGGGCCACCGCGCCATCCACCGCTCGTAGTAGCCGACGACCACGGGCACCCGCGTCTGCTGCAGCATCACCTCCGACACCCACACCGCGTACGCCCTCTCTTCCTCGCTGCCGCTTGCGCATCGCCACGGCAGATCCCGACGGTGCACGTCATACCACCGGAGCAGCTGCGCGCGCAGCGCGGCGGGTGCGGCGGCGCCCGGGGCTGCGGCCCCAGGCACTGCGGGAGCCAGGTCTTCGATGTCAGCAGCGGAGGAGGAGCCTGCCGGCGCCGCCTTGGCGCGGCGCGGTTGGGGCCTTCTTGTGGGAGAACGGCCACGGCGGGTGTCGGCCGCCTTGGGGTTCTTGGCCATTGATTTTGAAATTTTAGGGCTTTGCCGCCACTGGGGTGATTGGGTTTTGTGGGAAAAAGATTCAGCCTGGGCGTTCGGTTTTTACCGACGGTTCGGTTCGGTTTGTTCGGTTTTTCAAAAATTCGGTTTCCAGAAATGACCCCGATCGGTTTGTTAAAATTTGGGTTTTTAGTTCGGGCAAAAAAAATATCAGACAAGATTTACAATGAGCAAACGGTTTTTAGGGTACACGGCAGGTTACAACACATTTTAAGTTTGGTTTTTCCACGGTTTCTTGGACAACGCTTTGCGACACTTTTAGTTCAGAGATTTGATTTGTTGCTAAAAAATATTATTGAAATACGAATCGAAAAACCGAATAACTACCGACTATTCGGTTCGGTTTGGTTATCTTATAAAAAATGCCCAGGCTGAAAAAAGATGAGCACGGAGGGTCACACGGCTCTGTTCCACCGGACATCGCTTTTGCGGCTCAGAGACCTGATTTGTTGCGAGAAAAGACACTATTCTACGACCGGAAAAGTATGACTGATTCTATCTTATAAGCTCAAGTATAAGCTCAAGTGAACAGAGCCAAGCAAACGAGCGCTTATCTGGTGGGGCCCTATCCTAGCGTGCGTTTTTTTTTTCATTTTTCATTTTTTATTAGTTCCCAATGTTTTCTTTCTGTCCCAAAGTAACTACATATGATGTTTTGAGTAGATAAGCATTTTTGTGTTTGATCAATATATAAAAAAATATATGAAGATTTATTATGTATAATAAGGACAACTATATTAATAGAAAATATATTTTTATAATAAACATATTAGGGATACAAACGTTGATAATATCCTTTATAAAATTAACCAAACTTAAAAAAATTGACTTAAAATGAGATGTGCAATTATTTTGAGAAGAAGGGAATATATGACACCTAACTTTGGATACATGCAGCAGGAGACCGTGGCGCCAGGAAGGCACATGTCAATTGGCGAGAACCGATCGGTGACAGGGGGCAGCGAGTGTAGACTCAACGACGATGGCGGCTAGGGTTTGTGGAATGAGAAGTCGCAAGAGTGAAGCGTCTTGTATCTCGTGATACCATGCTAGGCTAGGCAAAAATCCACCAAAAACCGAAGCGAACCAAATCTCGTTTTTATGGTTTTCAATTTTGGCTTTGGTTTTTGTCACTGAAAGTTCGGTGTTCGGTTTCATAGCCAAATGGAAACAAAAACACAAAGAACCTAAATTGTGCGAGTATGCTACCAGAAGCAGAGCAGAGCCCACCTCGGCCCTGGCGGCTCGGCCCGCCTCCACTCCCCCACGCTCTGACCACCCCACCCCACGCCTCCTAAGCTCATCTCCCCAAGTCGCCACAAGGAAACCCCTTGTAGGCGAAAGTGGCAACAAGAATCACTCACCGCCTCAGCTCTCATCTCCCAAGTGCCGGATCCGCGACAGGAACCCCTAAGGAGGCAGGAGTCGCCGACGCCAACACGACGGCGCCAATGAGCAGGCCAGCTGGGAGCGGCCCCCACGCGACGACACGAGCAAGCAGGGTGCGGCCCCACGGCGACTGAGACTAGCACTCGATGTGGGGAGGTGACAGCCGGCACCACCACGTCAAGTTCGGTCGGTTCGGATTAAAACAAAAACCAAAATAAAAACCTAAAACCAAAATTATCGGTTTTCAATTTTCAAACAGGTTGATTAGGTGCTACTTTTTGAAAACCGAAGTTTTAGGGAACCGAAAAAACGAACCGAATTTGCGGTTTAAACTGACTGCCTAGCCTGAATACCATGTAACCGTATATATGTTGTGTTACTTAATGATCATAATGCATATATACATATAGTAGGCACGGTGGAGAGCCTTGATTGATAGGTCCATGGGCCGAGAGTTCCATAGATGAAAATATGATATCATTAATATCTCTTTTTTCGATTACATAGTACAAGTCAGACACTGAGAACGCACGCACACTTACCCCTATGAACGCACGCACATAAAACCTTCCCTATGAGTATCTTCGAAGATTGGGACAGCAAATCTTCGAGATTGACGAAATCACCATATGTGCCTCGTTGTCGATGGGAATGTCGTCTGCCACTCAAAAACACAACGTCGTTAAATCCTATAATATTCGCTCCCAAATGGAGTTGAACCCAGGCCCCGAGATGCTAGACTCTTTGTAACCAGTAGGCTACATGTCCTTTCACATATCATTAATTTCTCTAAGACAGACCAATGCAGCTAGAAAACTAGTAGCAAGACATAAAACCTGTCCGTTGCTGTCCAATTCACTACTACAAATTGGTCTACATTGTCCTCCAAATCAAGCCGCCTCTAAAAATGTATTTACAGAGAGGCGATTGTTGTTTTCAACCGGCTCTATTTTCAGCTGCCTCTGCCTCTAGAAATTGATTTCCCGCCGCCTTTAAAAATAGGAGCTGCATAATAAATTTGAATTTTCAAATGATCTCGGATAGAGAAATGACAAAAACAAAAGTTGTAGATATCAAAGAGTTATGCAACTTTGTAGCTAAAAACTATTTTATTTGAAATCATCTATACATGAAAAATTACGTTTGAATTTATCGCATTTGAAATTCGAATTTTTCAAATGATCTTGGATGAAGAAATGACCAAAACAAAAGTTGTAGATCTTGGAAAGTTATGCAACTTTGTACTTGACAACTTTTTTATTTGAAATTATCTATGCATGGAAATTTACGCTTAAATTTCTCACATTTGAGATTCGAATTTTCAAACGACCTCGGATGGAAAAACAATCAAAACAAAAGTTATAGATGTCAAAAAGTATTCAACTTTATAGTTAAAACTTTTTATTTGAAATCATGTATGCGTGAAAAATTACGCTTGAACTTCTCACATTAGAAATTTGAATTTTTCAAACGATCTCGGATGGAGAAACGACCAAAATAAAAGTCATAGATCTCAAAAAGTTATGTAACTTTGTAGTTGACAACATTTTCATTCGAATTCATTTAGGGTCTCAAATACTCATTTGAAAATTGAATAAAGATAAACTGAGGAGAATGGATATCCCATTTGAACATAAGTGTTGTATGGTTGGAGTGGTTAGGGGACAAACGCACGAAGCAACAGATCGTGAGTTTGAGTGCCGATGGCTATGCAGCGTGCAAATAATTAAGGTCTCTTGATTTAAAAAAAATTGCTTTTTTCGGGGGGCCCCCCCCCCCCGCCCCCCCTTTTTTTGCCTAAATTTGTAATTTCTAGACAACGATTTATAGAGGTGGTTCAAAATGCAACTGTCTTTATAAATCGATTTACATAGGTAGCTTGTATGGACGGAATAAGAGAGCTGAAGGCAAGCCAGCCGCCTCTAAAGCCTAGCTGTATTAGTGATTCTTACGACAACGTATGGTTGATGGGAGAGGCTCCTCAGACCTCTGATATAGAATAAGCAACAATTATTTTATTTTATTATATTAGTTAACTCAAGATTTATAGTTTTTAATACTATATTAAATTGCATGTACCAATTCATTCAAACAAAGAATTTAAGAGGTCACAATCATCGTTGTCTATCTTAGCTAGCTTACAACGATGATTTTTATTTAGCCAATTAGGCCAAATGGACGAGAATCCGATCCATTTGTCCGTCACAATCGTTGTCTTTCCTAGCTAGCTTACAACGATGATTTTTATTTAGCCAACAAATGGACGAGAATCCGATCCATTTGTTCGTCACAATAATCGTTATCTTTCCTTGCTGGCTTACGACGATGATTTTTATTTAGCCGGCCAAATGGACGAGAATCCGATCCATTTGTTCTTAACAATACAAAGGGTGTGTACATGTCATCATGTGATTCTGACACAAATAACACGTTCCTGTAGCCTCAAGTGACCATTTCAGGACAATATAAAATATAAAATATTATAGTCCCTTCGTTCCAAAATAAATATTACTATGGAATACAAGTCAAACTTTCTTAAGTTTCACTGAATTTTTATAAAATAGAAAGAACATTTATATTCACAAATAAATTTATTATTATTATATATATATACAATGAATCATCTAATGATACTAATTATGAACTCTAAATATTCATATTTTCTTATATTTGTTTAGTCAAAATTAAAAATATTTAACTGAGAATGATATTTATTTTGGTATGGGGAAGTATATTATGTGCATTGGTATGACAGGTTCACATCAAGTATATCAAAATACATGTATGGAGTATTAAATGTAAATAAAAAAATAACTAATTCCAGTTTGGTACGAGATTTAAAGCCTAGACCATGATTAAACAATTCATCATCAAACAAAATTGCTACAGTGCCAAATACTAATTCCATGACCCCCATTTTAATAAGGCCTGAAGCTACGTCGAAGCAGGCTTAGAAGTCAGTCAACCTCGGCTCCACCCGGGGTTGCCAGGTTCACATTCGCTGCAGGTTCCAGTAGGTATAGGTACTATGCATATATGCATGCGTCGTGCTAGCTAGCGCCTCCGCTCGCTCCGTACTAAAATAAAATAAGTGATGTTTTACATTTATCCTAAATCAATTTTTTTTAAGTTTGACAAAATTTATAAAAAATACTAATATTTATTATATAAATAAGTATTATTAGATTCATTATGAAATATATTTTCATATTTTACGTATTCGGTGTTATAAATATTGATATTCTTTCCTATAAATTTAGTCAAACTTAAAATGGTTTGACTAAAGCCCGTTTGGTGGCTTCACTTCATAAGTATATTGATATTCTTTCATAAATTTTGATCAAGCAGTTTAGTAAACGTTTTAAAATGGCTTCACTAATGACTAAGGGACAAACATAATTTTTGGCTCCTTCCCATTATTTAAGAGCACGGAGGGGCTTTCATCGGTGGACTGTTACGAACGGCTCCAAAAGTTCACAAAAAAGTACGCCAAACAGAACCTAAGAACAAATATAAAACATCAATTATTTTAAGACAGAGGGAGTACGTTACCAAGAAAGTACGTAGCTTGG